TCTCTGCCTGACTCTCAGCTTTTAGTCAGTCATTTTCATTTAGTAAACGATCCTCATGACTTCAGTTCGTGAATGACGCAGGTTGGAGGATTCTTCTCCACAACACAGATTGATTCCCAATTCCTAAAAATCCTTTATTTCTTAGACCTTTTTTCAGTGGGACTGAAATCAAGAACGTGCGACATGTGTTGTTGTCAGAGCCGTGTTTACATGGACGGGACGGCCGGCTCCTCCCCTTGTGTATAAAAGCTGTTTTAGTCAAGAACTAGAGAGAAGAAGAAGAACATACTCACTGATTATTTGGATGTTAGTAAGAGTTTTTAGATCACGCTCATTCTGTGTCAGTTTACATGAAATGTGAAGCTACGAGCTAACTAAAGAGCGTCAACATTAGCATGCTAACACAACAATGTGAAGCTACCAGCTAACTAAAGAGCGTCAACATTAGCATCTAGTGGCTAATATCAACAGAAGAAAACATGTCCACTATCATCTCTTTTGGTCTGGGAACTCTCTCTCTGACCGTTTATTCTGCGCATGCTCACATTACCTCTTAACGGTGCACGCAGGCACGTATGCTCTAACAATGACGTCACTGGGTGGGCTATTTAACATGGCTTTGCACTTACATTCAGTAATATGCTTAACACTCCCACTCAAAGACATCTTTATAGCTCTCTATAATGGTAAACAAAAAACAGAATTACAGAACTCTAAAATAACCATTTGGCATATTGACAGTGTTAATAACAAAAATAAAAAAAACTTTACATCTGTCAGTACACTTCACTCTCCAAACAAATACCCCTTAAACTTCTCAACCTTAGCCTTCATCACTGGTTTGCTAAGGACATCAGCTACCATGTCTGCAGTAGGGCAGTATTCTATAGCTATGGTTGTCCTCGTATATCTTCACTGGTACATGCTGGTTGCTGCTGTCTATTCCTTTAAGTAGTTGTACAAGGTACATACTCTCCTGAGTAGTGGCTGCTAGTGCCATATACTCAGCTTCACAGGTTGATAGTGCCACTGTTGGCTGTTTCCTACTTTTCCATGATATAACTGGACCATTTTCAGTTAAGCTGAAGCAGTAGCCAGTTGTGCTTCTCCTATCATTTTGATCGGCTGCCCAATCAGCATCACTATATCCCTCAAGCTGTAGGTTTTCCTCACTTTTCTTGTAGTGTAGTTCCTGACCTATAGTACATTTTAAGTACCTCAGTAGGTGTAGCCCAATGTTGTTGCTTTGGTTCTGCTAGGTATTGTGATAATTTACTCACAACCCAGCTCAGGTCAGGTCTTATACATGTCATAATGTATATCAAGCTACCTACTATCTCCCTGTACCCTGTTGAGTCAATAACTTCACCCTGAGTATCGAAGTTTAACTGCTCACATGGGGTTGATCTTGGTTTGCATTCAGACATTCCAAACCTAGTCAACATCTTCTCTTTTGAGTCATTTTGATCTCTCCCTCACTCTTTCTAAAGTCGATACCCAGGAAGTGTCTAAGTGGACCCATATCTTTCATCTTAAACCTCCTCATCAACATCTCTTTTACATCACTGAGTGAAGTGTTGTTACTTGCAGCTATGATTAAGTCATCTACCCATACTAACAGAATCACTGTCTCGTTCTCAGATTCTCTGCTGTAGACACAATGATCACACATTTTGTACAAAACCATTCTCTGGAAGGTGATCATGCAATAACATGTTCCAGTTACGCCAGGACTGTTTTAAACCATACAGTGACTTGTTGAGTTTACATACCAAGTGTTTTCCTGTTTTGGACTTGGTTTCAAAACCTTCCGGTTGTTCTATGTATACCTCACAGTCCATCGGAGCATGGAGGTAAGCAGTCTTCACATCCATTTGATGTAGGATAAGATCCTCTTGTACAGCCACTTGCATCAATGCTCGGACAGAGGTCATGTTGGCTGTCGGTGAAAAAGTCTCTTTATAGTCAATCCCTTCCACTTGACTATACCCCTTTGCGACATATCTGGCTTTACAAGTTTCAGATCCATCTGGGCTCTCTTTTACTGCATATACCCAACAACCTCCCACTGCTTGCTTGCCTCGTGGCAGTGGGGTTAGAGTGAAAGTCTCATTCTCTGTTAAAGAGTTAATCTCCTCTTTCATTGCGTCAGTCCACATTTTTGACATCTTAGAGTCCATAGCCTCTCTAAGTGTTTTAGGTACACCATAAGTCACTCTGTAGAAACAATCTACATTTTCACTCTCATCATTGTTACACTCAGCTTTACAATGGTACTCCTTTAAGTGTTCTGGAGCCTTTCTTTGCTTGGTAGGATACCTCCTTTCTTCCTGTTCTTTCTGAGTACTAACTGTCTGAGTGGGACTTGTCTCAGCAGTCTCAACACTGGACTCTTTACACCCCTTTGGCTGTTCCTGACCCTGGTTGGCTATCTTTGGTGGTGTATCTCCATAACACTCAATGTCGTCCCCCATGTTATAGTCTGTCTGAGTCTGGCTATCTGCGTTACCTTTGGTGATAAATTTCACCAGCCTATGTTTTAGGACTTTTCCTGTCTCAGGATAGTACACATTATATGCTGGACTATATTTATCATAGCCAACAAAAATTCCCATTGCACACCTAGAATCCAGCTTCTTCTTGTCCTGCTTATATACGTAGAATTCAGAGCCAAATATTTTCATGTTAGATAGCACTTTACTTTTCCATATGGAGGTACATCTGCTATGAATTTTTCAGTAGCTTTTGTCGTGTCACTCTTTGCTTTGATAAAGTATGGACAAATCATCCCACTGTAATCATCAGTAAATGCTATAGCATATCTGTACCCATCTTTATCTGCTGGTTCTATTGGACCGCATAGATCTGCATGTACTAATTCTAGTACGGTTGTAGCTTTAGCGTCTGCCTGTCTGTTTCTGTTTTGTGTAAATTTGCCCTGTGTGCATATTTCACAATTTTGATTGGACTTGTCATGTTTCCCTTTTATCGCCATGCCTTCTACCACCTTTTCTAATTTTGAAACATCATCAAAATTACAATGACCAAGTATCTTATGCCACGTCTGAATATCATAGCACCTGTTCACATCATCACTATTTTCATCTTCTACTGTGTTAAGGTAATACAGCCTACCATACACATCCATTTTGAACTTGGTACCATCTTTGTGGATCAGCCAGTCATCATTGCTCTTAAAGCGGACCTCGGCTCTGTTGGCTGTCGCTGCTTTTACTGAAAAGATGTTTTGAGGAAAAGATGGGATGTAGAGTGCTTGCTTGAGCCTCGTTTTCACTTGTCGTCCCTCACTGTCCAGCAAGTAGACTTCGGCATCTCCCCTCATCTTCGCCATCCCGCTCACCTTGGTTCCGTCGGCAAGCTCGATCGTGTGGCCTTCAGGTCTGAAGCTCTTATCAACTGTCTTGAACTTTTTGGGGTCGTTGATCATGTGTGTTGTGGCGCCGCAGTCGACCATGAGACCCTTCTTGTTTCCTCTTTGTGTCGGACAGTCACTTATTTTAAAGAAACAGAACGATGTCGGCTCTGCCTCCGTTTCTCCATTGGCTTTCTTTACATACTCACGGTCTTGTCCTCGGCCGCGCCCCCTTCCTCGCTGTGGTGTGTCCCATTTTCTTTCTTCCCTTCTTGCTTGGAATCCGTCATGACATGTCCTTGCCATGTGCCCCTTTTTACCACATGTGTAACACTCGACATCAGCCAAGTTCATTTTCTTTCCTCTTCCTCTTCCACGTGCCCTTGTTGCCCCGCTAGTCTTCATCAAGTTGTCTTCTTCTCCATTCCCGTCACTCTTCCCATATTTTTCAGTACTCTCATAACTTAGCAGTTTTGTTTTAAACTCGCTGAACGTTACAACGTCATTTGTCTGGGTGATGTGCACGACGAATGGCTTGTATGAATCAGGTAGCCCCTTTACTACCATTGCTATCTAAAGCCCATCACTAATATGCTCGTCTGCTCTTCTCAATGATGTGAATATAGTCTCTGCTCGAATTATGTAGTCAGTTACAGTTTCATTGCTAGCCTTATGGAGCGAGGAAAGTTCACAATACAAACTCACAACGCGGGGTTTGTCCTTTCCCGCATAGTGCCCACGAAGAATCTCAAGTGCTCTTCTTCCATCACGTTTCGCGTCCCTCATTACCAATGACAAACTCTTGTTGTCTAGACATTGCACCAACTTTGCATATGCCTCTTCGTTCTTTGTCTCATCTTTCGCGAGGGCTTCTTCGTCGTCCTCCATGATGACTCCTCTGAGGCCGCGTAACTCCATGTGCGCGAGGAACCTCGTTTCCCAGCGCTCGTACTTTTTCTCATCACCGTCGAATAAAAGTCTGAACCACTTTTGGCCTGCATGACTGGGCCCATAACCTGTTACGTTAGACATTTCTGCAGCAGTCTATCGCGTCCTTACAGTCATCCCGAAATGGTTAGCTAATACCATCTAGTGGCTAATATCAACAGAAGAAAACATGTCCGCTATCATCTCTTTTGGTCTGGGAACTCTCTCTCTGACCGTTTATTCTGCGCATGCTCACATTACCTCTTAACGGTGCACGCAGGCACGCATGCTCTAACAATGACGTCACTGGGTGGGCTATTTAACATGGCTTTGCACTTACATTCAGTAATATGCTTAACACAACTGCAGCTTAACAGAACATGCTTGCGCTTAACTCCTTCATTCAAACTCAAGGGGAGAGGCGTTGGAGGTGTTTCTCTGGAGGAGAGCGGAGGCTTCAGTATGGAGGAGGCGTGGCCAAAAATAAGTTTGTTTTGGTTTCATGCTGGAGCTCAAGGGCGACATCTACTGGATCAAAAAGTCACACATTCTTCCTTTAAGATAAGAGAATCCTTTATTGTTCTCCAGAGGACAGCAGTGTAGACGAATGACAGAGTTTGATATGAGGTATTATTGACTTGTTGAAGAGAGATTGTTTTCAGTTATACTTCTTACACCTGTCTTTGTGTTTTCTCAGAGATCATCTGATTTGTATGGAGCTGTGGCCGTCAGATAAACATCGTCTCGCCTACACCACGTCGCTGCTGCTCTTCCAGTACTGCCTGCCTCTCCTGCTGGTGCTGCTCTGCTACCTCAGGATCTTCCTCCGCCTGAGACGACGCAGGTCCATATTTAAACTTTTATCATATTTCAGCTTTCTTAAAGGTCCCATATTCTTCTTCTTCTGGTTTTATATGCTCTTTAGTGTGTTTTCCAAGTGTCCTGTGCATGTTTAGTCACATCTATGTGCAACAATTTGCGGAAACGCAGCTTCTCCTACGTCCTCCTGTTAGCTGTAGCATTAGCTGCATGTAACGCTCGGTTCTAGCCCCCCTCCATAAAAATGTGTCAGTGCAGCGTCATAGTCAGTGTGAGATCACTGATCTAAGCCCATTGGCTCGTTGTGGCCCTGCAGCTCATATTGAAATTTCCGAGAAGCGTGCTGAGCAACTGACCAATAACGACAGAGCGTATCGGCAGACCAATCAGAGCAGACTTGGCCCACGTAGGGTCTAACAGTGTGGGCTCAACAGAGTGTAGCTGACGGACTCAGAGCGTAGAGGGAGCAAGGAGGAGCAGTTCATGAAAACAGACACTTTTTAAAAACTTTATCTATTGTGAACGTACAAAAGTAGGAACATAGATTAAATATAAGAACCCCAAAAAGGGCAGAATATGGGCTCTTTAAAGTCACCAAACAAGTGCTACAGGTTTCAGCTGTAGGACCCGTGTTGTTTATGTGTATTTAAATCATAAAGGTGTTAATATAACGCTTCAGTTAGTCGCTTTGCAGATGACACTGTTGTTTATTTCTGTAAAAGAACATTTTAGCAGTCTGTCTTAAGTCTTCTTCACACTGGACTATTGTAACCGGGGGTCCTCTGATAATTTATAGCAGCAAGCTACAACAATTATATGTTCCATCACTTTATCAACATTATCACAAGACAGGCACAGAAAAGACTCATCGGAAAGACTAACATGATTTTAGCACGTTGTCCTCTTTATTCCTGCGTGAGCTTGTAGATCTCCTGTGATCTTGGTAATCTGTGAGTCCAGCTAATCATGGCTGCGCTCCGTTGTGCTACGCTTCAGAAGCAGCCAGTAGGGGCAGGGCGAACAGACTGGAAAACAGAAAGCACAATGGAGCAGTTTCATTATGTGCATGGAGACCGTAACGGTCACTTGCAGACAGTCTATGGTCATGTACCAGTTGCAGGATAAACATCACCACTGCTAGATGGACAAATTCCTTGTAAAGTAGGGTGAAATATTCGGGAGCGTGTCTATGGTCCCACATTTCTAAGAATTTTTTCCAAAACGTATTTGTACTTATCTGGTTTTGTTTGTCTGACTTAAGGAAATGAAAACAAGGGTTCGGCATCTATAAGCTCTGCTTCAGCTGAAACCCTTTTCGATCAACCTATTTTGTTTTTTCTTGTAATGATTGTGACGATTTCTGCTGCTGCTGATCGAAATAAAATTATTCATTCATGCATTCATTCATTCATTTACTATAAAGTGCTTCCAAAAAATCTTGTGGGAGGATAGGGCTTAAATTAAAGGGAAATGTAGGAACACAAGACCTAATTTTGAAAATATCCTAGAAATGTTCGAACATAGGGCCTAATTTTGGGAGAAATGTGGGAACACAGGGCTGACCCCAAATATTCGACTGTTGGCATTCACACATGCAGCTCACCGCAAACATTTTAGGAAGCTTTTAGGAGTTTTGTGAATTTCCCTGGCACTTTATTAATATCAACATTGTGCCCGAGGTTTGCTGTGATATTTCAGTGAACTGTCTGACAATAGGCATCTGCTGTGTTGTGCAGGGACATAGTGGAGCGAAGCCGGAGGACGCGAGGTGCCCAGAGGATTAACATCATGCTGGTAGCCATCGTCGTAGCCTTCGCGCTGTGCTGGCTGCCGCTCAACGTCTTCAACACGCTGTTTGACTGGCACCACCAGGTCCTGCCCGACTGCCAGCACGACGCCATCTTCTCTGCCTGTCATTTAACGGCGATGGCCTCCACCTGCATTAACCCCGTGGTGTACGGCTTCCTCAACAGCAACTTCCAGAGGGAGCTGAAGACCACGTTGCAGCGCTGCCAGTGTGGAAACCGGGCGGCAGAGAGTTACGAGAGTTTCCCTCTGTCCACCGTGGGCAGCGAAGGCATCACGAAAGCGACCTCCCTCAACAGGATGGGGTCAGTTTCACCCAGATTTGAGATCAGCTCAGCAATGCCAGCGAAAACAATCCCAGCTATCACCTAATTATGAGAACCACCAAATTCTCTTTCTATCAAGCGGCTGGAATACAAACTTCAAGAGTCAAATCCTTTTTCACCTTTGCTTCCATAACGTCCTGCCTGCCCGAGTAAAACGTCCTGTTTCACTCGGCGTGACTGGAAAGGATCAGGATGAAGCTGGACGATGTAGCTACAAGTCAGAACATGAGAAGCAAACTCTTGTTAGTCGACAGTTTAGGTAAAATAACAAAAAGTAGAAGAGTGGACATTTCGCCAAGCTCAGCCCTCTTGTTGACTGTTTCCATCTCTGTCAGTCGTTACATCCGACAATTCACCATCTTGACTTGGTGGCCATTTGTCCTGAGACTTCATGCTCATTTTTTGAATCTCATGATGAAATTATTTTGTACTGTTGTATATTTAAGTGTGTAAAAGTAGGGGATCAAACCATTTTTATTTCACTTTTCCACGTTCTTTAGAAAATAAAGAGACGGCAGATTGCAAGAAAGATTGTCATTGGTCCATGTTCAGGTTTGAACAGTATACTTGATAATTCATTGGCTGAATGTTTGATAATGTTTTCACAGGAGTCTCCAACACGTTGCTACCTGTAGCTCGTGTCTGGGTTTTTAGTCACTAACCAAGAGGTCAACCAACTGTGTCCAAAAAAATCTGACGACAACAAATGCACCTTGAAAGCATCTTTACATATCAATTCAATCACAGATGTCCCACCCTAAATACAACATATAAGGATGGGCCAATCAGCTGTCAATAAAATGGTGATGATCCTGTCAAGTTTGTTGAGTTTTGTTGGATCCGTTACAATGCATGCTAGCTGAGCTAATGGGAGGACAATGGTGCTGTGAATAATCCTGTTTAGACAGATTTATGATGGACAGCAAAGGCAGCAATGCCAAGAAATATACTTTTTCCACTGGGAGTGGGAGAGGGACTTCATTTGGACATATGTGTGTGCCTTATATGTAGAATGAGCGGTAAGTTGGCAAAAGAAGCAACAGGAAGCGTAGGGCTGACATTTTTTATTTTAAATTGGAACATTCATTCAAAACTGGGGGAGGAAGTTCACATTCTTAGTTTTCATAAGCAGTTTGAATTCAAAATTTAAATTTAGGCCGTCAGAAGCAGTTTTCAGCTTTATCAAGCAGAGGGTGCTCTCAGCGTAAATTGACCATTGTATGCACTCTTGAACTCAGTAAAGTAAGTCAGTAATGTAGTGGCAAAAGCAATGGGGGGCGCTATTCAGGAGATGCAGACTGGCATGAGGGAGACTTGTCTCTCTCTGCAGAAAGCAGCCCTCTGATTGGTGGAGAGACACAACTTCACTACAAACCTGCAACTCTCCAAACTGGCTCGCAAAGATTAGTGTGTACCAGAATCGTCTGTGCACTCTGAACAGGTGTTCTCTTCCAATCGGTTGTATGGCACATGTGCAGTTCACAGTGTAGTTTATACTGTACATATTTAAAGTTTGTTTTATGTATTAATCAATATTTAAGTATCTCGGGGTTGTGTTCACAGTGAGGGTAGAATGGAATTCTGAGAGATGAGCTTGACGGGCAGGTCAGTTCATCATCTGCAGTAATGCGGGCGTTGTACGGGATCATTGTGGTTCAGATGCAAAGTTTTCTACTCACCATCAGTCTACCTTCCAACCCTCACCTGCGCTCATGAGCTTTGTGTAGTGACCTAAAGACTGAGATCGCTCAAACAATATAAGCCGAAATGAATCTCCTCTGCAGGGAGTCTGGGCTCAGCCTGAGAGATCAAAATAAGGACCTCAGACATCCGGAGGGAGAAGACCCGCTGTGGCATCTGATTAGGATGCCTCCTGGTTGCGTCCCTTTGGAGGTTTATCGGGGATCCAACTGGGAGGAGACCCGGTCTAGACCCAAAGCGTGCTGGAGGGATTATTTATCCCATCCACAGAATCCCCTAGGAGGAACTGGTAAACGTTGCTGGGAAGAAGGAAGTCTGGGCATCGGCTTGCATAGACTACTGACAACATGACCCGACCTCGGATCAGTGGAGAGAAAATAGAAAAAACCTTATTTCAAGATACAAAACTCAGAAAAGGCGTGCAGTGCTAGAAATAACTTAAAGAATCTGCCAATGGGGAACGTGAAATGTACTTGAGTGTGTTGAAATTGGATGTACTATATTAGATAACTCGTTTAAAGATCCTTGAGTAATTGTTGATTGCTCCATTGGCCTTATTGATGTATTTTTATACCCCTTAATAGGAAGTTTGATCTGTCAGGTGAATGTGGCTTATTATAAGTGTATAGCCTGTCAGTTATGCGCCATGCCCCATGTGTGGAGGCAGTGGGCTAGTGGCAGTGGGTTCGGGTCCTACCTCAGCCCTTTTCTATATGTCGTCCCCTGTTCTCTCCTCCCGGCATTTCCTGTCTCTCTTCAGCTGTTCTTTATTCAAAAAAAAAGAAATGAAATGAGAAGAACACTGAGGCGTTAGTTTTTGCAGCGTTTGTCCATCCATCCATTTTTCTCAGCTTGTCCAAGGTCGGGTCGTGGTGTCGTTTGTCTAAACAATCAAAAACTCATTCGAAAGTTTAAGTTACAATCTACTGAACGAGTCATTAATGTGCTGGTTTGAGCTTTTTAAGTGAATGTATTACTTAATAAACAGTCTATAAGAGTCGTCGATATTCCTGATGCCACTCAGCCTTACTTTGTCTGAATAAGATGAAACTTTATAGGAATGTTTTAAACCCTGTCGACACGTTCTGTAGCCTCGATGAGTCCGGACAACTACACAGGAAACAGGAAGCATCCACCTTTAAAGGTACAGCCTCCAACGAGTCCTTGAGTCTCATTCCAGAAACTTTGAATGATTTAAACTGTGGTTTCAAAAAACAACAAATAATGTGCTTAATTTCCTTTTCTTTGAAATCCTATTCTAACCTTTTAAGGGTTGTCAGAAGATTCATCTTTTAATCGCATGTTTAAAAGTTCATTATTTGCATTTAATAAAGTGTTATAAGTTCATTTTAACAATGTGATGGAATCAAAGGCAGCTGGGCGCCGTCTATAAAGTGTGGAGCGTGCGGTTCAGAAGCAACTGTGAACGCCTTGGAAGCAAACAATGAGACAAATTGTGGCTTCAGATGACATCGAGTTGGCAGGTGTGTTTTCTTGCTGACCGGTTTTGAATGTTGGTTTTGGTTTTCCCCTCTCTGTAGTACCTCGTACCGCTACTGCATCTTTTACGCTGTCCTGGACTGTACAGGTCTACCATCCCCCCTCTGGTCTTAAACCACGACATGGAGGCAGCTCTAAAGTGCTTGTTCTGTGAAATGCAGAGTTTGTTTTAATTGTTTGAAATGATAAAAGTGTTAAACATGAAGAAACATGCATGTGCTGTCTTCATGCACAAAATGAGTCCAATGATCCAAACAGTAATTATTGCAACGCTATTTGTGCTACGGTGCGTCTAAAGGGACAAAATGGTAACGGATTAATGCAACTTCAAAGAATAAATGTGTTATTTTTTTACCTTAATTACACAGCCATCAATGTGTTAACACTGACAGCCCTAGTTTTATTAGTGTGTACGTTTTCTATTTAAAAATTAACGATTTATGTTAAAGTCTTTAATTTGTTATTTTTATTATTTTTATTTCAGAATCTGATTTTTACTTTAAGTTTTCTAATTGACATTTAAAGATGCCCTCATGTTTTTTTCATTTGAAGTTCATTAATTTGTATTTTTTTTCTCAGTTGTGGCACATTTCAAATTTAATCTTATTTCCGAACACGGGGCTCACGGCTCCAGCAGGGCGTTTATCTTTAACTTGTTTTACTGTCAGTGATTGTTGAACATTTTCTTCTTTGCTGAATTCTGTTTGTCACTTCATTTTGTTATTAAACCGGTGTGAAAATGTGTGTGGCCTGGTTTAGTTTTTTAAGTGTTAGGATAAAATCTCCAAATTGAAATAGTATTTGTGGAAAATCTTCCAGTTTTGGTTTCACTAAATACAGTCCAGTATGAACATAATCATAAATAATGTGTTGATATAATTAAAGGTCACATAACCTTGATAACCTTTCCAGGGATTAATTTCCTGCTATATCTATTGTGTAAAAATGCCAATAAATCTGACTGAAAATAATAGAAGTAAAACGCTAAAAACTGATGTTATAGGTTAATCTGCATTTTTAGTTAAAGGAGCAGTATGTAACTCTGACACCTAGTGTTTAAAATGGGTACTGCAGTCTAAATTCTAAACATCATAGAGAGCTGTCCCCCCCCCTCTCTAGAGTGGATGCTCACTCAGGTCACCATGTGGTGGACTCTGAAGCTTCAGTGTTTATCCAGCTCTGCATGGGTCTGTAAACCTTTCTGTGTTCTAACCTCTCTCCATTTTTCAAAAGCATCTCCAATATTGATCCTAGTTTGAGCACGTTTCTGCTCGTGGAGCTTATTAGAAACATGCAGAGGCTTTTTAGGTCGGGTACAATCACTTCTATCTGAACCACTTCTCTTGACCGCTTCCATCGCTGCAACACCTGTTGACCTGATAACTGCTCTCATATCTGACAAACTGAGGGGCGTCCAAAACGGCCGTGTGGGGGGGGGTCTTAAAAGCGCCTACCTTCTCTGGTCCAAACAAATCCAGAGCATTCAGGAGCAGAATCTAAAGTTAGAAGGAGGACATACTGGCTGCTGCATTGTTGTCAGAGAAGCCAGCACTTCAACATAGCATGTTTCCTTAATGATCAGAGAGTAAGATACCGTTATCATTTCATGCATATTGGATGTAGAGCATAAATGAGCTTTTTACATTATTTACAGGAATAAAAAGTAAGAAAAATAAATAACTGATGTTGCAGTTATTATGAAAGCCAGTTGAGGACATGAACGCTCAGGTGTGTGTATCACAAGGTGAGTGTTTTTTCTTTTTAAGTACCGTGTTAGTCCTGGGACACCATTAATTGATATCAGCCAGGATGACCTTTGTGCCGCTCCAGTGCAGCTGACCTCTTGAAACATACGGGTGAAGTGTTTCCTCCGGCTCAGTGAGACGATGACCGTTGTCTCCTGAGAGCTGCAGCATGAGGACGCCAGGCTGGACCAGAAGGTGTTTCTAGTATTTAAGGATTTAATAATGGGATCAATTAGCTGTTTCCCCTACCATAGATTTAATTTCATCATCATTTGACCACTTTTAGTTAAAAATTCTCAACAGTTTTTATTAAAATATTCCCCATACTCGAGGTCCACTCTTCGGCTTTGTTTCCGGAGCTTTGCACATCATCTCATGGCTTTCATACATGGATGACGATGTTTGGTTCAGTGGTCGTCATATGAAAAAGGTCATGCATCACATCCGTCCATCTCAAGTACAACTGAGAAAAACCTGTTTACTGACGAAGGCTGTGAGATGTGGGTAAAGTAAGAAGGAAGTGAACCTGAAGATGATTGTGCAAAACGAAATGTTCTCATGGCTAAAAATAAAACATGAAGAGAAAAACCCACTTTCAGCATGGATGTTGAAACAGAGTGTTTGGCCACTTAAAAATGTTTTTTATTGAACTTGGGCTGTGACTGGAACCGTAACAAGCATGTGCTAAAAGTCTCTTACATGACGACGGAGACGCTGCTGCTTAGGCACCCAAAACGTTTTAAGACGTTCGGTTTGAGAGTCTCACAATAATCTACGACTCAGGGAAAATAATTTATCTGTCCTGTTCTATCTTTGAAATGAAAGTTGAGCGGCAGACCGACAGTTTACCATGAAACAATGTTCAGTTAAAAA